TTTCTTTTTCCAAATGTACTTGTGGACACACTGGGAATATAGAAACCAGAAATAGAAGTCTGTGAATAAGTTGGGAATAGGATGCTTTTTCTTCCGTGATGTTATGTACATGATCCTACGCTCCCGCTGTGTTGAGAACACCAAGTACTGTGGCTGCAGGGAGGCTCTCATTGGCAACTCGTCCACATAGAGCCATAGCCTCCCTCTCCATCAGCCACAGCTCCCAGGACAGACGCATGCTCCCCTCAGCAGAGGTGGGGCACTTGGCCACCTCCCGCAGGCTTCCCCGTCAGCACCTGATGGGTGCGCGTTCGGGGAGGCTACGCAGTGGAGGTGCCACGTTCCTTTCATAAGAAACTGAGGATCGATTGGAGCCTGCCGGCTGAGGGGAGGGACCAGGAGGTCTGCCTTGTGCCCGCTCACCAGTCCCCAGTCCCACTCTGCTCCCATCCAGCCTGGTTCCCCTTGGTTCCCCATTGGCCATCCAGCGATGGGAGCCTGGGGGAGGAGGGACCTAGAGGTGCTCCATGCGCTTCTTGGTGTTCAGTTGTCCGTTCGGTCATTTTAGATGTTACGGACCCTAATTTTATAATGTAGATAGACTGTCATACTGAGAAGGCAGAAGAAAGACAGTCAGGGACTGGACCACAGGATAGGGGGAAGAAGTAGAACTAGGAAACCCAGCTAGGTGAAATTACTAAGGCAACCCAGTTGGGCGGGGAAAGAAGGGTGCGACATGAGCTTTAAAATGTATGGATGTTGCCCTAGCTGGTTTAGTTCAGTGGACAGAGTATCGGCCTGCAGACTGAAGGGTCCCAGGTTCGATTCCAATCTAGGGCATATGCCCGGGTTGTGGCTTGATCCCCAGTAGGGGGGGTACAGGAGGCAGCAGAGCAATGATTCTCTCTCATCATTGATGCTTCTCTCTCTCTCCCTCTCCCTACCTCTCTGAAATCAATAAAAAAAATGTATTTTAAAAAATAATAAAAATAAAATGTATGGATGTTACTAAGACAGGAAACTTGCAGACCAATCAGAACAGAAATTAGCAAGCATGCATATACATACCTCTCTCTCTTTCTCTCTCACACACACTTGCTCTCATTGTAACTTCACTTATCACCCTAGAGGAGAAAAATTGCTTAATATTTTTCTGAGGCCTTCATTCCTGCAGTTTTCGAGGCTTAATCTGATATTGAAGCAATTTAAAAGGTGATTCTTTTTTTTTTTAAGTGATTCTTGGGATCCTCAGAGGAGGACTATGGGGACATATTGGTGACTGAAGTATCGGTGCAAAATAGAGAAGCTACTGAGGTTTATTTGGGCACTAATTTTTTCCCCCCATAAACTACAATTTCCCCAGTGTGGTCTAAGAGGACTGGCTGAACCTCTTCTGAGATGTGTGGGTTTGGACTTCAGCTCTTGAGTGCTTTTAAAGCTCTCGAGTGCTTCTCCCCGTTTGGTTTTCTCTTCAAGGTCCTTCATGTAGTTTTATAATCTCTCCTGGGTTATCTGTGAGGAGGCAATCAAGGATTTTGACTGTCTCCTGTAAAGCCACATCTTCCCACCTATGACATTTGGTCAGGATAGGACTGTTCAGGTCTTCTCACACAATGGTTCCAAGGAAAACTAATTTTGGGTCAATTCCAGGTAAACCAGTTCCATCTCTTAACAGAATTTTGAGCTCAGGTGTCACAAAGGCATGATATACACTGATCCAGGAGTGAGTCTCCCTTCCTGACTCTTGGGCTGAGACACACCCATAAAACAATGAACCATGTCCACAGACAAAAATAAGACCCACGGGGGAAAAAAATTCCCTTTTCAGCAAGGGAGAAGGTACAAGCCAGTAGACTATGGCCTCCCTAAAAAGACAAAAGGTTTTCTGAACTCTGCAGGGCTCAGGACTGAACTATTCCAGGAGTCCCTCAGCAGTAGAGTTAGAAGAACCCAACAGGAAGATGTCAAGGGACCTTAACAGCATGTTCTCTGTGCCCATTTAGTACCCACCTTGCCTGACTTCAGGCTCTGGAAGTGCTCCAAATCAGCAGTTGCCAACCGGTGATCCGCGGATCACTGGTGGTCTGTGGGGTCCAAAACGTTGGCGACCACTGCTCTAGATGGTGATAAACTGTTGGGGTAATAAGATCAAATACCACAGATTCAGCCAAAACCGGTTTGGCTCAGTGGATGGAGCGTCAGACTGCAGACTGAAGGGTCCTGGGTTCGATTCCGGTCAGGGGCATGTACCTTGGTTGCGGGCACATCCCCGGTTGGGGGTGTGCAGAAGGCAGCTGATCAATGTTTCTCTTTCATCGATGTTTCTAACTCTCTCTCTCTCTCCCTTCCTCTCTGTAAAAAAATCAATAAAATATATTTTTTAAAAAAATACCACAGATTCAGAATTTTCTGAAATGAGTTATCTATATATATAAAAGGCTAATATGCCAAGTGTCTCCTTGAGAGTTCGGCGAGGAGCTCGATCACTCACTATGATGTGTGCTGACCACCAGGGGGCAGCACAGAACAAAGGAAGGCCCTGGCTGGCAGCCAGAAGGCCCCAAAGAGCCCTGATCACTGGCCAGGCATAGGGACCCTACCCATGCACTAATTTTATGCACCAGGCCTCTAGTTTGCTATAAAACCCACCTGGAGAAAGAAATGAGGGGGATATTTACCAGCCTTAAGTCAGGTGACTGATTCACGCCAGTTCATAACACACTGGTTTTCTTTATACAGGAGTATATCCCAAGATCCGTCACTCCCAACTCTATCAGAAGTTATTCAGAGGTCTGGAAAGAAGGGCCTTGTTTTTTCAAATAAACTTATTGTATACATTGGAAAAGCAATTCAAAAAGTTTGAAAATGGGAGAGCAATAGGAAACTGGGTAAAATATACATATAAAAAGATACAAATGTACAACATGACATCAAGGGGAATCACAGTAAACAAGGTGAAGTGTGCACATGAAAGGAGATTTACCTATTTGAAAGGGAGAGTCAAGCATGCCTTTATTTTTCACTTTTAAGAAAATGACACACTTCTTTGAGTAGTCAATGGAAGGGAGTTGACTTCCCTCATCCCATCATGAGAAAAATATCTGAATCAGTACACAATGATACATACACCAAGAGTCAACTTATTCCAGAGGGAACCAAATTGTCCCCTCCTCTTTTTGCTGTAATCGAGGACACACATTTCTATCTCTGCTTCCTTGATTGTACTGGTATATGTTGCAGTTATTTGAGGTAGTTATTTTGATAAGTCAGCACAAAGACTGAATTAATGAATACTGAACCACTCCTACAGAGTGAGGTTCCTGTGAGCCTCTGGTCACATTTGTCAACCATCAATACTATGTATTGTTGAGTCATTTACCTTAAACTCATGGCCAACAGACTCTGGACTGAATGAAGCTTATCTAATGCAGGAGTTTTCTCCTTAAGAAGCTTCACAGACTTCTTGTGATTAGGAACGCTATGCTGCACTTCAGCATGACACTTAAGAGGTCATTTTAAATAGAGAAATAATAATTTTAAAAAAGCGCACAAAAATGAGAAAACAACAACATAGCACTAAGTAGAAAAAGGACACTTATTTAGTTTGAAAGCTGAGATATGAAGACACAGCATTGCCTTGTTTGACTTCCTGGGAAAATGTGCCTCAGGACACTCAAATATTTTGCTACTCTGTGTATGTCCAAGAATGTCATCAAAAGTATTATGAGTACTCATTTGGGGTTTACAAATAAATTTTAGCGAGTAGGCAAATACAAAATCTGCGAATGAGGATTGACTATACATAAGTTTTAATTCCTTTACTGGGAAGTAGGGTTGTCTCAATCATAAACCAGGGCTGGGAAGTAATGAAGAGAGAACCTAGTGTCAATTGCTTCCTCTAAATTCTCAGTAAGTTGCAATAACATGGCAACCAAAATGGCTAAGATATAATAAACATCACTCAAGAAATGACTTATTAACTTCATTTTAGGTTTTTTTAAAAATATATTTTATTGATTTTTTTTACAGAGAAGAAGGGAGAGGGATACAGAGTTAGAAACACTGATGAGAGAGAAACATCTATCAGCTGCCTTCTGCACACCCCCTACTGGGGATGTGCCCACAACCAAGGTACATGCCCTTGACCAGAATCAAACCTGGGACCCTTCAGTCCGGTTTAAACTCATTAGAGTACTTAATCCTCCCAAATAAATAAGTTTATAAAATCAGCTCCAAAATCAATAGCCCATCTGGTTTACCTGCCTTTGATTAAACAAGCTTAAGCTAAGTTGTTTCACTTTGCTCTAGTGTACTTAGTTCTATACTTTGTATTTCAGACTTCTTAAATCTTAGGAAAAGGAATGTAGACTGTCTTGTTTCAGAATGTGGTTAAGAGGCACACCACCTACCATATTAGGTACTTTCTTGCATGCATGGACTCCTCTACCACCATGTATCTCAAGTCCATTTTTTTAAAAAAAATCACAAAATGACTCACTGCTAATGTATGTTCCATTCAAATAAGATTTCTTAACCGGGAGTCACCAGAGGCATTTCAGGGCCTGAAGGCCCCCATGTTGTCAGTCTGAGGATTTTTCTGAAGAGAAAACATCGTTTCATTAGATGCTCAAACAGAAATATGACCATTCAGACCTCCAAAATTTTTAGAAATGCCTCATTGGATTATCTTGTTTTATATAATTTTCATGGGTGGGACTATTCAGTACAATTTGACATCATTTAGTATCTAGTCCTGTTCTCCAAACTTCTACCACCTCTAGCAAGTTGTAATTCTATAAACAGAACCAGGCACTTTTATATTCTTAGGGTACAAAACAAACATGCCACCTACATACTAGCATTTAAAAAAGTTTAAGTATTGTCAATTACAACTGGATTATATTTTAACACAATACTTCACAGAGTTCAAGATTTTAAATAAGGGCAAAATAAATCATATCTGAATAAATCTTCTAAGTATATTAAAGTGTTAGTAATACTTCTGTTTCAAAATCGCTGAAAAGTATGTCATTTCCTTGAAATGTACTTGGCGTAGAAAGCAGCAAAGAGGTCCTTATAAGGAGTGTCTGAATCTCCCTTGGTCAACGGTATACGGCAAAATTGGCGAAACCTAGGAGAACGCAGCAGCAAGTTCTGTGAAAGGCCCATGAAGCTGGAGCATAACCAGTAGAGAACAAGTGACTATTAAAAAAAAAGGACATGAATGTTAGCACCGCTCATTCTCCTCGGACACCAAGCTTCAGAGACAAAGAAAATTATAATCTCTGCAAATGGAAGTACACTAGGACTAAACATAGATATCTGTGAAGGGTCTAATAGGTAAGAAAGAAGGATGGAAGGAAGACCAAAAAGCAAAAAGAGAGGTATTCGTGATAGAAAGTGGATGACAGAGTAGCTCCCAGGGCCCAAGAGAGGTCTTGCCGCCCTTCTTTGGCTTTTTCCCCACTAAGAGTCCTGACAAACTGCCAGAATCAGAGGTAGGGTCCTAGAGGCACAGCCATTTATGATGGCAAACTTAGCCTCCCTAGACTTCACTTTCCTCCATACAGTCATCTATCTACCAACTTTTCTAGTAACCAGTTGCTAAGAATGGTCAGGAATGCATTATCTTTGCCTTTTCTGAGACTTATAGCTCAGCACTATCGTCACTTTTCTTTTGTACTACCATCCAGACTGATGTATGTAAGGTCAGTAACTAAGTCCTACAGCCTCTCAAAACAATCCCACACAAACTTTTCTTTGGCATTAGAAGGCCACCAGAACCCAGAGGCATGACTATGTGGTGGTTGAGTCCAAGCCCTGGAGTCAAACTGCTTGAGTTTGAATTCCATTTATTTGACTTTGGGTAAGTTATTTTTCTTCTGTTTCAGTTTCATTTATAAAATGGGCACAGGTCTGTACCTATCTCAGAAGGTTGCTGTAAAGAATAAACTAGATAACTCACATAGATGGTAAAGCAGTGTGTGGTCCATATTAAGCACTTCCATTTGTTCCAAAAGCAAGTTTTGAGGAGCAGAAAGTAACACATCATCAAAGGCAGATTACCATTATAGTTAAGACCAAGAGCCAAGTTGCCTGGATGTGTAAGACTCTGCCACTTAACAGATGAGTAACCTTGGATGAATTACTTAACCCCTCTGAGCTTAAGTGTCCTCATCACTAAAGTGGAGATTACAGTAGCAGCTACTTCAGTGCACTGTTGGAAGAATTTATAAGAGCTAATATATGCAAACCACTTCAAATAGCTCCTGGCACAAAGTCAACGCTGACTAAACATGTGCTATCACCATCATCTGATTTATCCACTAAGCAAAAAGTACCCTGAACTCAACTGTACAGACTATAAGCTGTCTATTAAAAATCACTCTTCTTCCTTAGTAATAAAGTCATAATTTCCAGAAGGGTATACTGCCGTGGCAAAGAGAAAGACTTCGTCCCAGCCTCTCCCGCAGTGAGGTGTGGCCAGAGCAGGAGTGTTTGGTGGTACAGCTGGCAAGGCTCCCTCCAAGCGCTCACTACCCGTGAAGCACCGTTACCACTCCTGCAGAGACAAGCTCCGGCAGCCATCATGGCCATATTGGGGCCTAGAGGACAGACATTACCGACTGTGGATGGTGGAGCATTAGGAGAAGCAGCCCTAACTGGTTTGACTCAGTGGACAGAGGGTCGGCCCGGTAACTGAAGGGTCCCAGGTTTGATTCTGGTTGGGAGCACATGCCTGGGTCGCGAGCTCAAATCCCCAGTAAGGGGTGTACAGAGGCAGTCAATTGATGATTCTCTCTTATCATTGATGTTTCTCTCTCTCTCTCTCTCTCTCTCTCCCTCTCTCCCTCCCTCTCTGAAATCAATAAAAATATATATTAAAAAAAGAGAGAGAGAGAGAAGCAGGCTGGGTCTCTCATGTCTTGTAAGAGATACACTAAGCTGCCTAACTGAATTTCCTATATTTGAGAGAATAAACTTTTGGGTATTTAAGACACTTTTTCAGATGTATTACTCCCTTTGAACCCAGACCCTCACTGAAACTTCACTGCCCTTATTTTATTTGAGCTGGGGGGTTTCCTCAGTTATAATTGGCATTATTTCTCCTCAGAAATGTCATGAACCTGTATTTTTCTATTTTATAGGGTATTTTACAACAATACTACTATTATATGAAAATTATTATAAGTACTTGGTGTTATTTCATTAATTCTCATAGACATAATGATGTCTATTTAAGACATGTAGAAACTTACTTATTTTATATAGGAGTGATGACAATATTATGTCTAAGGGAGAGGTTTAGTTTTTTATATATATATATTTAAATATATTGATTTTTATTTTTTTTTTTTACAGAGAGGAAGGGAGAGGGATAGAGAATTAGAAACTTCAATGAGAGAGAAACATCGATCAGCTGCCTCCTGCACACCCCCTACTGGAGATGTGCCTGCAACCAAGGTACATGCCCTTGACCGGAATTGAATCTGGGACCCTTCAGTCCGCAGGCCGATGCTCTATCCACTGAGCCAAACCGGTTAGGGCAGTAATATATGTTTGATGCTGAATACATACTGTTCCAGATTCCTAAGATAAGTAACATGAAAAACTTTACAGATGCTGATATAACCCTAACTATCAGCAACAAACAGATTCTACTTTATGGTCTATGTGTTGACTCTGAGCAAAAACAGAGTTATACCTGACAGAGCTTTTGCCTTCTTGGCACTAAGTATCCATGGGTAATAAACAAAAGACCAAAAATATGAAATAACTGCAAACATAACAATTTCTCTATTTCTATAAAAGTTTAATTACAGACCTTGCTAGTTTGGCTCAGTTGATAGAGCATTGGCCTGTGGACTGGGACTGAAGGGTCCTGAGTTCAATTCCGGTCAAGGGCACATGTCCGGTTGCAGGCTCAATCCCTACTGGGGGACCTGCAGGAGGCAGCTGATCAATGATTCTCTCTCATCATTGATGATTCTATCTCTCTCTCCCTCTCCCTTTCTCTCTGAAATCAATAAAAATATTGTTTAAAAAAAAAGTTTAATTATAAATAAATAGGGGCAAGTGTACCTATCTCATAAAGAGTTGTATGAGGTTAATTATCACATATGAACACATATGGACTTGGCATAAAGTTTGCTTCTTTTTAAGTGCTAAATTCCTTACCTAAGTCTATATAGACAGAAACAATTCAATATATCAACTAATCAAACAGAGCAAATACTTTGTTCATGGTAGTGTGCGAAGTACTTTGCAAAATTGTAAAAAGAAAAAAGGTTTGATTTAGTAAGAGAGTTAAGACATTCACATACAGGAAGGTCAAAAAATCCCAAGAAATATGTGTCACTCGGTGACAGAGACAGTAAATTAGTTATTACAGAAAAACTCAGAAACCAGTAAGGGATTGAGTTTTCAGAGAAAGCTCTCAGTAGAAGAGGCAGAACCCAGCCAGATAAAGCTAAGGTCAGACAAGATTTAGCACAAAATCTGGTGTTTACTCACCGAAGGTACTGTGGCAGCAATTGGAATCATCAACACTGATATTCCCCGAACAAAGTAGGTAACACCCGTCTGAAAGCGAGACATTCCAATTTTTTGTAGAGCAACAATCTAAAAGGGCAGAATATATACACACACCATGATTATTAAAATGCATAAAATGGCCTTCACTTACATTTTAACCAATGAAAAAAAAGAAAGCACTGATAGAGGCCTGATGCACGAAAATTTGTGCAAGAGTAGGCCTTCCTTCCCCGGCTGCCAGCACTGGCTTCCCTTCAGCACCCGGGACCCGGGCTTCCTTCCCCTGGCCGCCAGCAGGCACCCAGGATCCAGGCTAGCTTCCCTCCGGCCTGGCTTCGTCAGGAAGGATGTCCAGAAGACATCCGGTCTAATTAGCATGTTATCCTTTTATTATTTTAGATGGTTTTTAAAGATTGTAAGACTGAAAGTCCCTTCAAGATAGGTTCTATAGCTCTGGCCAGTGTAGCTCAATTAGCTGAGCATCATCCTGTGCACCAAAGGGTCTGGGGTTTGATTCCTGGTTCAGTCCCTGCTTGGGTTGCACACTAGAAGCAACCAACCGATCTCTCACATCGATGTTTCTTTCTCTCCCTCTCCCTTCCTGTCTCAGTCTCTCAAATCAATAAAAACATATATATTTTTTTAAAAAGATAGGTAGTATGTATGAATCATTACCCTTGTTTTTTGGTACTTAAGTACAGTGCCTGGCATAAAGAAGGAACTTGGTATCTGAAAGATTTGTGATCTGGCTACATGGATAAAAGGGAATAACCAAGGCAAGGGAAAGCAGTTATAATTTATGAATTATTTATTTAAGAGGCAACATAGCAGTAATGATTATGAGCCCAGACTCTAGGCCTAAACTTCCTAGGTTCACATGGCAGCCCTGTATTCAGTGGTCATATGACTGTGCAAGTTATTTAACCTTTCTGTTCCTCACTTTCTCCACCTTAAAATGCACGTAATAATGGTAATAGTAATAATAGTAATAGTACCTATATCACAGAATTAGTCAAAAGAATTAGATGAGTTAATTAGCACTAGCTGGCTTGGCTCAGTGGATTCCAGTCAAGGGCACATGCCTGGGTTGCAGGCTTGATCCCCAGTAAGGGGCATGCAGGAGGTAGCCAATCAATGAGTCTCTGTCATCACTGATATTTCTATCTCTCTCTCCCTCTCCCTTCCTCTCTGAAATCAATAAAAAATATTTTTTAAAAAATGAGCTAATTAATGTAAGCTATTAAAATAGTGCCTGAAATATGGTGTATGTTAAGTAAGAATGAGCTTTTCTTAAACATATACATACTGGGTTAGTAGATGGTATAAAGGAAAGACTAAAGGACTGACATTAATCCATGGTGGCCTTGTATTTATCACTTCCTTCTTTCTAACAAATATTCACTAAGTCCAACCACGTTCACAAGACTCTGCTGGGTTCCCTTCTAGGGAAATACACTTAGACTGGAGTCTTTCCTCAAGAAACTGTCACCCAACACCTTATGGTGTCATCTTCGCTTTTCTTGTCTAAGAAAATAAAGGTATATGAGATTTCCCAGAGACCAGTGGACATGAAGTCTATGAGATCACAACTGAGGTAGATAATTTCTAAGGTTTCTTCTAGTTCAAAGAGTTGGTGTTCTTTTCAGAGTTTGAGAACAGCTCTTTATGAAATTAAAGGCATGCTTCCCATAAACTGTTGAGTAAAGGAGCATGGGATAATGGTAAGACATGGCTAAGAGGTCATATTGAATATGTATGTGTTTTTCCACTTCATCTTATAAAGAAATTCTATGATTTTTCTAAGATTGCATAACTAAAAAATGGCAGTCAGGAAATGACTTTATTCTCTGCCTACAAATTTATATATTAAACATATACACAAAATACCAATCTACTGTGGGAATAAAACCAGATTGATTAGACATCTTAATGACCATCTTTAACCAAAAGCAAATCACAAAACTGAATGTATTAGAATCATATAATTTTAAAGTTGAAAGAGACTTTGGAAGTGTTCTAATTCAGCTTTCTTACTTTAATGATAAGCATTCTGTCCCCCAGAGAGGTTAAGGAATTGACCCAAGACAGTCAGTTTGTCGATGGCTGACCTGCAACCAGAAACCAAACTTAATTCTAGCTCTACAGGCAGAACCCCAGCCAGATGAAGCTAAGATCAGACACGATTTAGCACACAATGCTGGTGTTTAGGCACTGAAGGTACTATCACAGCAACTGGAATCAACACCGATACTCCCTGAACAAAGTAGGTACCACCCGTTACCTACTCACCTTCAGGGAGTAGCTCTGAATTAAGACTCAAACACATTTATATTTGATGTCAAAACAGCAACAACAGAAATCCTAATAATTTAAATGGCAAACAATCTTGTTTAAAACCACTGACCTCTACTATTATTAAATTGATGGCACCAATGCAGATAGGCAGAATCCAAGTGGAATCCAGTGCAGTGAGGTCCGGAAACCACAGGACCCCACCAGTTGCTAACTGCTCCTGGACAGAAAAACCTGCTGAAAATTTATAAATAAAATAATTTATTACAACAGCACAAGGAAATACACAAGACATATGTAGGATGATAATTCCAAAAAGGTGCCCCTCACACTAAAGACTTGCATTGGTTTTATTCAGGCTCCTTTCATTCCATAACACAAATCAGTCCTCCCTGGATTAAGAAAGAGGCAAGCAGCTTTCTGTAGCAAACAGACTTAGAGAGAAAAAAAATAAAATATGTAGCAGTGCCCTGACAGTGTGCCAAGTGGTTAGAGCAGAGGCTTATGCACAGAAGGGTTGAGAATTCAATTTCCAGTCAAGGGCACAATTCCCAGTCAATCGCATGTACCCAGGGTACAGGTTCAGTTGGGGTGTGTGTGTGGGGGGGAGGCAACCAATCCAGGCAACTAATTGATGTCTCTCTCACACATGATGTTTCTCTCTCTCCCCTCCCTCCCTCCCTCCCTTCCACTCCCTTTAAAAATCAATGGAAAAATATTCTTGGGTGAGGATTAACAACAACAGCGAAGTAGCAATAATGATTTCAGGCTTAACTTTAAATAATTATGTAGCCATAGCTGTTTCTTTAGAATCTATTCAGATTACTTTCTGGTTAGAAATACCTTTAAATGAAAGTAAAAAACAAATGCTTTAGTTCATATTGTTTCTCAATTAATGCTTACATTTTCACTGTGAAAGCTTTTCTGTTCTCTTAAGTTTATAAACAAAAACAATTCCTGGTTAGGAAACCAAATTCTGAAATTATAACACTAATTTTATTATGACCTCTAAAGAAGCAGTATTACTGCTTTCCTTTCTAGATTTACTTTCTCAACCCAGCTAGTTTGCTTATACTCAGTATTTTAAATTGTATATTTATACCCTTTATAAGCAAGACTGGTTAAAGTATTCTATTTATGAAAAGTATGGGGTGATAGACACTTTTCAAAAGAGGACATTCAGAAAGCCAAGAGACATGTGAAAACACGCTCAAAGTCACTAATCATCCGAGAGATGCAAATCAAAACAACAATGAGGTATCACAGACACCTGTCAGAATGGCTATCATTAACAAATCAACAAACGACAAGTGCTGGAGAGGATGCAGAGAAAAAGGAACCTTCCTTCACTGCGGGTGGGACTGCAGACTGGTGCAGCCACTGTGGAAAATAATAAAGAACATTATAATGTTATGAACCAAAAGATAATACAGAGGCAGAGAAGCATGGAACAGACTGTCAAATTACAGTGGGAAGGCTGGGAGTGTTGGGGGGGCAGGAGGGGGAGGTAAGAGATCAACCGAAGGACTTGTATGCATGCATATAAGCATAACCAATGGACATAAGACACTGGGGGGGTAAGGGAGGCTGGGGGATTGTCAAGGGCGGAGAAAAAAGGAGACATATGTAATACTCTTTGTAATACTTTAAGCAATTTAAACAAAATTAAAAAAGAAAAGTATGGGGTGTTTTGTTTTTTTCTTTAGAGTACAAAGACAATGTTAGGGAACGTATTTGGTGGGAAACAAACTTCTATAATAACTACCTTCTGAATGTGTTGCTCCTGTGCTAAAATTCCGCAGAGCGACAGACATAAAGATCCACATTGGAAGCTGAATCCAGACCAACACTGTGGCTTTGAAAGGGTGGCAATTATCCCGAACATACAGCTCTGAAACAAGCCTCTGCATATTCTTTAGATAAGTGAACCTATTTTGAGGGAAGAGGAGAAAAGAAAAGGGAGAAAATGTCATTTGATCACCAATAAATAGTGCTTCATAACCAGAGCATAAACACGACCAGGTTGTGGGTATTGGCTGAAGAATTTGTGTAGGATTTTTAATTATCACAAGCTATATTAAGGAGCTGCCTAAATAAAAGGTAAATAAATAAATAAAGCCTTTTACTGAAAATTCTCTAGCAATGTATACAAATTACATGACAATTCAATAAATCTAACATTGGCAGACTATAAGCTTTGTCTATGGTCATCTTTGGCTAGTTAGGTTTTAAGGGAAACCTCACTACTAAACTGGCATTATTGCACTTTCTATAGGAAATATGAAAAGTAAAAGTACATTTTATTCAAACCTTCCATTCCAGCCAAGCTTAATTACTTGGTCCCTGAATATATTTGTACCAATGTGGTTTTGTACTGTGTGCGCTCTTACTTAGCCTGTCAAAACAGTCTCCGTTCTTCAATTCTTTTTCATGAATATTTTCTTCATTTCCCTGTTAAGCATATTAGTTATTCCTGTTGTTAAGTCTCACTTTCTTGACTATCGTCTCCTTGAAGGTCAAGTGCTGGGTCTTAATCATCTCTAAATCTCTTGCCGTATATTTTGTAAAAGGTATGGCATTCAATAGGTTTGCTACATTTACTTGAATTAAGACAGCATACACAGACATTCCAGGGTCTTTGTAATTCTGTTACTCCTTTATAGACACCTGTATTTTCTGATGCCTGAAACGGCTTAGGTCATCCAACAAATCAGACTTCCGCATCAGCATACCTTTGGAAATTATTTCATCATCTGTGCGGACAACCCACTCTCTTGGCTGTCCACCTGGCAAACTCCCTTTCACCTTCCAAGACTGTCCCAATGAAAATGTAGGAAACCTTCAGAGTGTCTTTCTAGAAAGCCACCCATCTCCAAAACGATGTGGCTGAACAATCATGCCAGTGCTGCATCACAGGGTGCCACCAACTTATCTAGGGTGTATTTACAACCCAGGTGAGCAGCTGTAAATCTGTTCTTTTGGCATAGAGCTGTAGTTCTTAGATTTCTCTGATCAGTAAAACTTCAAAACTACAGGTTTGTCAAGTCTTCTTAACACTAAATAGAGAGAAGCACTTTCATAATGAAAATAGTTGGCAAATGTATACCTATAGAGCTAAATGTATGGATAACCATATATATGTGTATACATATATATGTATTTCTCATTTCTGTGAAATGGTGAACACTATGTCACAGTATAGTAAGGATAAGAATTTGGGAAACTAAGTAGTAGCTTAGGTTGACTGAAGCATGATGACTTAGAAGTTCCCAGTGGACGACTATGGTCACGCACCCTTGGGCAAGGGTTTCTAGGACCCCAGGAAGATTACTACACAGCGTAATAACAGTGGATGGACAGCACCCTAGCTATCCAGTTGCTTCTATTTTAATATTCACATTTTCTACTTCCTCATTCCTGAGGGCTACTGCCTACTGTATCTTTTCAAAAAGGTGAAGTTTGAAAAATAACCTGTATGATTTGTTGACTAAAGAACCAACAGACTGGCACAGTATCTTTATCCTGTGAAGCCTTCCCTGACTTTCCATAATGACCCAACTCCTTGCACAAAACCTTTTTTATAGTACTTAATGCAGTCATTATTTGATTGCAGGTCTTTTGAGTAGGATGGGGTCTCTTTAAGAATAAGAATCTTGCCTGGCCCCAGTGGCTTAAGTGGTTGAGCATCGACCTATGAGCCAGAAGGTCACAGTTCGATTCCCAGTCAGGATACATGCCGAGGTTATAGGCTCGGTCCCCAGTGGGGGGCATGCAGGAGGCAGCCCATCAATGTTTCTCTCTCATCGATGTTTCTATCTCTCCCTCTCCTTTCCTCTCTGAAATAAATAAAAATATATTTTTTTAAAAAAAGAATAAGAAACTTGCCCTTCTTATCTTTGTTTCTCCATTTCTTTGCTTTCAGTCCAGCACATAAAACAAGGTGTCCCCCAAAAATGTATACACAGTTTAACAGCTCATAGCTCAATTTTGAAAATGAAATGTATGTTTATAAACACTGCCTTTATAATTATTCAATACTTTTTTTGGACATCCTAATTATGCCAATCCTGGCCAGGTAACTCAGTTGTTTAGAGCATCATCCCAATACACCAAGGTTGCAGGTTTGATCCCGTCAGGGTCTATACAAGAGCCAACCAATCAACCAATGAATACATAAATAAGGGGAACTTTCTCTCTCAAATCAATAAATAAAACTATCATGCCACATAACTTATTAAAATCCTAAAGAAAAAAAACTACTTTGCTGCTAAAGCCACAGAATACTCAAACCTATAATAAACATAATCACTTTCACATAATATGCATATATTTTTACGGTCTTATATGCACAGAATGATCTTACCTGGCAACTCTTTTGGACCACCCCAACTGTTTTGCACGAACTGCAACTTCATAGTTAAGGTGTTGTGCAATATTTTGTATTTCTGGTTGCAAATTTTCCACCTAGCTAAAGAAAAAGTAAAATTTGTTATAAGCACATAAAGGATATTTATAACCCCTCATAGTTTTATTTTCTATTTCCTCAACTCATTTAAAATTTTGGTTTCCTGCCCAGCCACAGTGGCTCAGTGGGTTACAGTGCCGTCCCATTCCCACTGGGAGGTTTTGAGCTGATTCCCAGTCAGGGCATGTACTGGGTTGCCAGTTCCATCCCCAGCCCATCAGGCCTGGCTGCATGTGGGAGGCAACCAATGGATGTTTCTCTCTCACATTGATGTCTGTCTCTCTCTCTCCCTCCCTCCCTCCCACTGTCTCTGAAATCAATGGGAAAATATATCCTCGGGTGAGGATTAAAAAAAAATTGTCTACTGAGCATGTCAAAAAACCTTAAGTCTAAGCATAACATGTTAAATTGCTTAAGATATCCTGTTACAACCAAATCCAAATTCCAGATTATACACTTAGCTGTGTGCTGTTGGGCAAGTTACTTAACCTCTAAGTTCCGGTTCCCTCATAAATAAAATGTGCAACAGTACCTACTTCACAGGGTTATTCTAAGGATTAAATGAGAACTGCACCTGCACTTTTATGTGGCACCCCTGGCTTTCCCAGTACCGTCAACTGAGGAAACAGAAGGGTATTAATTAAATCTCTAATATTTCCTGTGACAGCCCCCCAAACTTTGCATTATCGGCCCTGTGTTGATTCTGTAAAGTAACTCACTGCCTTGATCCTGCTGACGAACCTCTTTCCGTTTCGTTTCCAGGCTTTTCCCCCCAATGATGATAATCTTTGAAGCCATTTTTTTTTTGAAGTCTTCCATTTTGAATACTATTTTGCTTTCGTTGCACTTAAACTCATATGTGACTTGACCTCATAATCTCAGGAAACAGGGCAGGAAGGTCTCCCTATCCTAATTACACACAAAAGATAAGGAGGCACCGAAGGGCGAGCGACTGAGACTCGCAGGACACGGGCCTGTGGGTGGACCGGCCTGAATCAGGGGTCAAGTTTGCAAACCGCTAGCTCGGCAGTTCTTCCCCAACGCGACCAGTCGGAAAGCCCGGGAACTAAAGATGCTGCAACCAGCAGGGGGTTGCAGCCTCGAAAGAGGTCATTTCACAGATCGCACCAGACAGTCTTCCTGCTCCTGATTCCTTTCTAACAGGGTTAGGGACCGCTCCTGCTTTGAGCACAAACCCAGAGGGTAAACGAGATGGCTGGTGCACGTGCCATTTAACATCTCTTACTTCCCACGTCCAGGGCGCGTTACCCTTCTTAGCAACGACGCGGTCACGACGAGGAACACTAAGCCGACCGCCTGCGGGCGCGGCGGCCCTCACCTTGGCCAGGATGTAGTGCTGGTAGGCCGCCAGGGGCAGCGTGACGGCGCCGCGCAGCGCCACGGTGGTGAAGAGGATGCTGCCCCACCAGGGCAGGCCCGTGACGCCGTGCGCCGCGAGCAGCA